AACAATCTCCAATCTTTTGTAATTAAAGTTTTTATAGTGCTAATATCTGCAATTAAGATTGAACATTAAAATTTGTAGAAAAAAGTGCGAAAAGTTTTTCGACGCCGTGAGAATCGAATCCACGTCTTCGGGATTCGCTCTGACGCTTTAGTGACCTTTTAGTTTTATTTTAACTTTCAGTAATTTCAGCGATGAACAGCTTATGTTATTCGGGGACGGCGTTGCTTTGAATTAGTGAAAAATTCGGAGATAATAATAATATTTGAGACTACCCTTAACATACAAATGCGACCTTTTGTTAGTACTTTCTATTTAATAATACTATTAGTCGCCCAATGGTCGAAATTCAACCATAATTAATTAAACATGGTACTGTGTTTTATTGATTTTTTAATAATTTAATGTAGTTTTATGCATAATTAAAAAAAGTATATTAGCACTCTGCACTCCTCTATATAAACTATAAGTGTGGAAAATTTCATACTTATCTGTCCGCGCAATTTTCGTAAAAACGGATACAAATTTTTTACTTCCCGTATTAATATATAGACATAGAAGAAGATACAATACTTGTAACAATATATCTACATAACTCAAACTTATTACACCATTGCCCGGGCTAAGTGAACCATCGATTCAGTCCGCCTGAATTCGCACACGATTTATTCGCAAACGATGCTTATTTGAAATCTCACGGTAAATTACGATCGGGTTAAATTCTAAAACAGTCTCGGCGGATTCGGGGCGTGAATCATTCGATACGTGGCGTCTACTTACAGATCGTAAAATATGAAATTCCTTTAACGTGTGCTTGCATGCGCAGGGAACCGCTTTGAAACCACGTGTTGCATTGCTGTGCGATGTCATTAAAAGGATCGTTTTCTAATTAGGATTTCGCTCAAGCTAAATCCCACCATGCCTGTAACATCAACGGCATCCCGGAAGTACATCCTCTCGATTCTTCGCTTGGCTGTGGTAAGCACGCGACACTGTTCGCTGTTGCACGAATGGGCAGGTCCGGGAAGAACCACACGGGAGAGCGGTGCGACACTGTTCGCTGTTGCAAAAACGGGTAGGTTCGGGGAAGAACTATGCGGAAGCCCGGTGCGAAATGGAGTTGTTAAACTTCTGCGTTTCTTCCGGTGAGTGAGGTAACCGAAGCCCACTTTATTAAAAGGTGGCAACGCATCGGAAACACTATGGATGTTGCAAATGTCCATCGGTGTGATATCACACTTAATATGAGATAACCCGCTGGCTTGTTTGCCATCATCTCACATAAAAATAGGAAAAGTAAAGCAAAAAAGTAAAGTAAAAAACCATCATGCGGGTTGATACTAAAGCACTAAGCAGCTTTTAGACATTTAAATTGTTTATAGTGCTAATCTTTGCACTTAATATTGAACATTAAAATTTTATTGTAGAAAAAGTACGAAAAGGTTTTACTGAGCAGTTTATTTGTCACTGTGACAGAATTGTCGTAAATTTTACACTAATACATTGTTCTAAGCGTTAGTTTTGACAGCAGCAGTCTAGTGTAGAGACAACGGACTTTCATTATTTGGTGACTCGTTTGGTTCCCAATGACAGAGTCTAGATTTGCGGATGTCTTATATGCAACAATCAATGACGTAAATTTCATTTGTGTTTGTGTTTTTTATGATGGCAAGGCTCAACCACTTAAACAATAGCTTTCTCTGATACCATTTTTATAACAGAAACGCTTGTATTCGTGTTTGTATCTTGTAGTATATATAATATACTTGTTCTTTAATTATCATATGTTTTAGAGCCAGCATCGAATAAGCTTTCAATTTGCTCTAATTAGTCTTGCAAATACAGTTGACAGTTTTGCTCCATATTTATTTCGATTACTGCCTTTAACTGTACACTACACTACAACAACATAATAGTAGAGCGTGAGACAGCACAAAAAATTACCTTATTTTTTTTTAATTTACAGTAACTTATGTACGGAAAGTTAGATGAAAACATACAATATATTTTCATTTCGACTCTACGTCGAAATAGAAAGCGCTTTGACTTTACGTTAAAGGGGGTTAAGAAGAAAAGAAGGTTGTCGTTATCGAAAACCTCGTTATCGAGGCTCATCAATGGCTACTAAATGAAAAAGAGAAATTCCACTTACAAATACATTACTAAAACTGTTTTTTCTTTACTTATTTATATATGGATTGTGCGACTATTTGTGCGTCAAAATTAACTACTTATCATGTTGGCCGGGAGCGTTGAGCGCTTATGTTTGTCGTTTATCAATTTATTTAGTAAGTAGAGAACAGTCTCACAAAAAATAGGAATAGATAGGCAACCTTTACAATAGGTTACCTACACAGCTACGAAGATACTTAGCTATGCTATTCGTTCAGGAAACTTGGTTCAAGAGCAATTGATGGTTTCTCAACGAAACACAATAACAGAAACAAGGTCGCAACAGATAACTCTAACCACAAACAGTATATTTATGTAACTTAATTAATAGAAGTAACTTAACACATACCGAGTTCAGAAGTCCGCAGAAATAACAATGACGTTGTAATATCCAGTTTATGTATTATAGAATGAATTCAAAAAAAATTGAAACGCTTATTTGAAACACTAAGTTAGGATCTGACATATTAAGTTGCAAGTTCATGAAAACGCGTGTCTGAACGTATTTTGTTCTAATATAGCCTAAATTTAATTTAAAAAAGTACTGTCACATCCTATAAAAAGAGGCAGGTGCTTGGTAAAAAAAAGATCAAACCTTTTAATTTTTTTTAAATGAAATGGAGCAGGCATAATCCTTAAATCAATTCTTAAGTCTCTATTTAGCAGTCAAACGAACAGTCAAATGTGTTACTTATTCTTACATAGACAGCACACACTTAACACAGACTTTAGTCCGAATAAAAACTGTCTCGTTATGAAGCAGGGTTTTCGGAATATCTAAAGCCTTAATCTAAGTTATGATAGTCTCAAAAAATCGTCCACACAGCGGAGACGCCATTATGCACACTTCTGAATTTAACATATAGGTTACCTTTAATCTGATTACACCGTTGATGGAAGATTTTCAGTACGTTTCTGTTCGACAGACGTCACGACGAACCCGAATTCTCGCTAAGGCACGGCGCCAACATAACTGCCACATTAACAATGGTTCTAACTTTATGAACGCTACATTCGTTTTTTGTTCAGATTAGTTGTTTCTTTTAAATCAGCCAAGCGTAGTATATAGTAAAGAAGCAGATTTTGCGCTCAGAGCGAATGTTTACCATTCGTCATGCGCCTTGCGTGTGCGAATTTCGGCTGATGACGTCATCGGGCAGTTTAATAAAACTATTACCGGCAAAGCGCCCCATATATATACACATAAATCGCTCTATATCAAAGTCAGATGCTGAAGGTTTTCTTCTGATATATAAAAAGATAAAAATCAACGCAACGAATGCAAGAGCTCGGTCCGTTGAGCGAAGGGATGGTAATGCGTATGGCTGCTAGTATTGTCTAGCGGCCATAGGTTCAAATCTTAGCAAAAAAAATTGTGAAAGATGCCAACATATAAGGGAGGTAAAACCTTATACAAAAATGTTATTATGAGCTCTACCTTGGTACTCAAAGAGAATAAAAATTATTTGGAAGGGTTTTAAAGGATTTCAGTGTCTTAAAGAATTGAAATATGTAAGTCACTGTACTAAGACAACGTCACGTAAACTTAATAGGGTAAACTGTATCCTTTGCATCGTTATATTTTTTAGCAACTGTAAATTATCTAAAAGAATACGAACACGCGTTGATTCAACCATCTGGGAATGTCAACTTTTCTTTTTGCCTAACGACTGGTAGATGTTAGAAGCTTTTACTGAAATATTTTCCTGTCATTAGGGTCATTCCTCCTTCCTGTTCGTAGACTGTGGTAAACCTCATTGGGTAGAGTCTGAGTTACTGTTTCTCCAAGCTTGTTAGACCCTGCACGAATCCAAAAACTTAATAATCGCTACTAACATAATGAATACGTTAAATAAATCCTCCGTGTTTCAACAGAACCGTGCTTTCAAAGACCACTTTGTCTATTTCAAAAAAAAATACATACAGTCGAACATAGAACTTCCTCCTTTTTAAGTTAATTGAATCGGTTAAATTCAATGGTCCCTCTTTAAACAGACCTCGGCATTAAAAGACCACTTTGTCTTTTAAAAAAATAAGACAAAAAAGGTCGAACAGAGAACCTCCTCAGTCCGTAAAGTCGGTTAAAAACAACTTAAGTAGTAGAGCTACAAACCACAGATTTAGTTGTAACAAAAACTAAATACCTACTATAAGAAATACTTAACGGTTATTGAAAGTATTTCTTCAATCGGTTTCATTTACAGTAATAAGAAAAGGACTTGAGATGCCAATTATTTAGAATTTTGAGATGGTAAATTATCAACGTGAGCGTGATAAATAATTGGTACCTTCAATTGACAACAGAACGATTTTTTTACTTATTAAATGAAACTACTTTACGGATTTTATCGCGTTTTTTATTTTGATTTAAATTCCCGACGTTTCGAACCCTTTCCAGCGTTCACGGTCATGGGACAGACTAAGTTGTTATACGTCTTAATGTCATTTTTTTACTGATTTAAGAAAATTAAGGTAGTAAAATTGTTCAGTTTAATTTTACTACCTCAAATTTCTTTAAACTTTGTTGAAATTCGATAAATTTTAAATTGCTTTTGTAAATAGAATAAAGCACCGTTGGAATCAGGGCACTTTTTCACTCAGTTTTCTTTCTTGAACAGTTCTAATTTTTCGAACCGGCCATAGATTTTGAAATTCATAAAATTGTCACGTGCTTAAAACTAGTAAAATATTTTCCTATTGACTTTGGCTTCAAATTATTTAAAACCTGAATAATAATAAATGCTTAAATAACGCAATATTTAATTTGAGGCAAAAACATTGCACAAAAAAAAACGAACAAGCGATTGTGAAAGTGACCGTGGTCGCCTCACCCCATCTCCTGCCGGTGCGGCCGAGGAAGGTCCTCTCTTCGGGGTTCCAGATCGCGTAGCGGATCTTCTGCAGGAAGGGCCGCTGGGGGGGGCGGCGGCAGTAGTTCACCACGCCGTTCGCTCTGTCCGCGCCCATCCTGCCCGCTGCTCACCGCTGGACTGACGCTGCGCCCCTTGCTAGCTGAAAGTCGAAGACGCGGCCGGAGGCGACGCGCTCCGTTCTGCGCCCAACTCAACCTTGCCTCTGAGAGGCGCTTACGCTTCGACCTTTGGGTTCATCCATTGTCCTATATAGTATATATATATAACATGTACGTATGTGTGTATATAATACATATTGTCAATAATTAATATATAATATAAGTAATGCACCTACCACAATTCATCTCCACACCCCAGGATGACTGGGTGAGAATGCGTATAGGCATTAAGTTCGCTATTTGCAATCGTTGTATAAAGCAATTACAATAAAGTATGGATAAATAAATAGCTAAATACATATCTATCAAAATAACCTAAAATTCTGCATCAGTAAGTAAGATATGTTTTATAATATAAAATCCCTGGATAGACGACAGACACAGAGGCTCATCTAAACAATTGGTCTATTTATTATAAAGCGCCCTTTTAAAGAGCAGTCCAAGAAGCCGCCCCGCGGCGCATTCCGGTCTGCGCCCGCAGTCTTTGGCCGAGGTCGGCATCCGACGAAATCCAGAGGGAACCGGCGCGCCGCCCGCCCCACCCGGCGAGCGCCGACTCGCCCGCTTCCACCCGCCCAACACCAGCTCGCTGGGCGGATCTACCCTCGAGCTGGCACCGAGTTATCGCAGAACGCGTCTTTGCGGATTCATAACGTAAGGCGCATTAAAAATTTTTATAAAATGTAAACGTTGTAGACGAAATTGTGGCAATCGACCCCACGTTCATCAATTGAAATTATTCCTAGCGCGAATCCGGAGGATAAAACTGCTTTCGACGTCAAAACAAAGAATAAAAGGTAAACGGCAACCGAATATATTATACTCTATGGCGAGTATCAGTTTATGAAACTGCCACCGCTGAGCAAAGGAGTTCGCTGAACAAGAATCATTAGTTATTACGCCGGAATAGACTACCGCAAAAACAACGGGTCGATTTGAATACTGTTCTTAAAATATATAAAATTGATTAGTAAAACTACGGTAAGTTGCAGATGATTTATCTCTATTTATTATTTTACAACGGTGTTTTTTTTTTTCGGTACGCCATAACTTCACCAATTCCTCATCTAATTTCATGATTGAAACGCCAATTTAACTTGTTTGTCGATACGGTATTGACGAAAATTAACTATACGAGTAATTTTAAAGTTTTTTATAGTGCTAATCTATGCACTTAAGATTGAACTTTAAAATATGTAGAAAAAGTGCGAAAAGATTGTCGCCGCTGTGGGAATCGAACCCACGTCTCCGGCATTCACGGCCTGACGCTCTAGTCACTGAGCTAAACGGCTGATTGCCACACTGACGAAAACCTTAACGTATTCTTCTACATTGTTTTCTTAGCATTTGAAGCAATGCTTGGCGCCATCTATTGTTATATCCTTTCCAGCATACAAACAATTTCGAATATCGTTTTACAACGATAATTCGAACGAGAGATGTCGCCATTGCTTTTTTAGAAATTTAAATTGTTTATAGTGCTTATCTCTGCACATAAGATTGAAATTGTTTGTATGCTGGAAAGGATATAACAATAGATGGCGCTAAGCATTGCTTCAAATGCTAAGAAAACAACGTAGAAGAATACGTTAAGGTTTTCGTCGGTGTGGCAATCAGCCGTTTAGCTCAGTGACTAGAGCGTCAGGCCGCGAATGCCGGAGACGTGGGTTTGATTCCCACAGCGGCGACAATCTTTTCGCACTTTTTCTACATATTTTAAAGTACGAGTAATGTCTTAAAATGTATGACTGCGGTACTGAGCATGCACAGACCAATAAGTTAATCCATAAAAGAAATTACATAAATTCTTTACACCCCATTAAATGATACATTGGACACGGGAAAGAACGTGACCAATGGTCACTGACCATGAACGCTGGTGTGCCAATCAGCCGTTTAACTTAGTGGCTAAAGCGTCAGGCCGCGAATGCCGAAGACATGGGTTAGATTACTTTTCTACAAATTTTCCTTTCCTTTCTATAAATGTGTATAACATTCGTGTAAAAACAAGAAATTAATAAGTTTTAAATTCCCTCTGAAATTTGACATAAAACTTTTGTGACAACGAAAAAATTGCACTTCAAAAAAAAACAGGTTTTTTTAGTACTTTGTATTTTCTCCACCAACTCGTAAAACTTTATTAAGACGATGTGCCATGCTGTAAATAAATTTTATTCTTTCATTACTGCATTCTTATAGCTGGCGCTACAAAGCACTCAAGCTCGCCCTTATCGCGTATAAAAATGGCTTTACCAATACATGTTTTTTGTCAAGTGGCAAGCTAGCAGGCGGTTCACCTGATTTAAAGTGATAACCGCCGCCCATTGACACTTGCAACACCCACAGGGTTATACCCTTATAATAGAGTGGGCCCCGGCTACCTCACTCACCAGACAAAACGCAAAAGTGTAACACTTCCACTTCACGCCGGCCTTCTGTTAGGTCGCGGTACTTCCCCAGACGGACCTGTCCATTCGTGCAGCTTACAGATTTTGAATAATCATTACAAATGTCTATACTTATAAAGTGCATTTATAAAAGCGATCAATAAAAACAGCTTTGGGAGATACCACGATTTTTCTATGTTACTCGGATTATGTCTTTAAATAAATAAATGAGTCCTGAATTATAATTTTATTTTTAAATTATTAACCCCGTATGCTTTGCCTTCTAAAAAATGTAAACAGATGTTATCTGGTATTGATGGATTTGTCAGGGGTATTGCATGAGCTAGTCTGCAATGTCCAGTTTATCAGCGATACAAGGGGACTGGTAGCTATAACCAAAGTGATGCCAACTTAGTATTATTCCTAAATTTAGTAAGAAAAAACTTATCCTGTAAATTTTTAGCAGGTAATTCTTTTAGGAATATTTTTACGGGTATTTTACTAGCATTTTCGAATAGACTACACCAAACATCAATATAAATAGAACTTTATTACGCTAGATGGTGCTGCATATGTTTATTTTTATCTATAATAGTTTCGGCTGTATAAGTTTCCACCAACGCCTAATCTTAATTTTTCCGTAATTGTAATAGTGAATATATGTCATAGAGAGTTCAAAATGTAATTGTTTGTGGCATTTTTGAAACATAAATATAATCATTAACATATATTGTTAGTATAGTCTTAATTATTAGATTTAATTTATTAAGAGAAGTCAGTTATTTCCAGATATATGATAATGTGTGGAAAAAGTTAATCAACATTTTCAATTGTTTCATTATACGAAAAAATGATGACACTTCACAGTAATGAAGTTTTGGTCTGAATTTAGTGTGTTTCGAAGTTTCAAAATTGATTAAGCAGTGTTTTTTTAAAGGGACAACACGGCCAATGGCGCGGATTCGTTGGAAGAAAGTACAGAGAGGAATGAACCATCGTATTTCGCTCAGAAATCGCACCTTCTTTGGCGAATAAGTCCAACAGCGGCTCGGAGAAATGCGACGAATAGTGGCTAGATAGTCAGAAGACTAAAGGCAGTTAATCTAACTCCAAAAAGGCCGACTACTTACCCTTAGTTGACCACATCTCATCGAGCATCACGCTCGCCTTTAAATACTCGAGCAACCTGAGTTCGATCCCCGGTGCCGGCACCAACGAAATTGTTAATTTTAAGTGCTGACTGATCACGTGCTCAGCGGTGAAGGAAAACATCGTGAGGAAACGAGCATGTTTTATCGACTATCCCTGATGTCTTCTGAACAGAGGAGGATTTTTCCCAACATTGGGACATGTATAGGCTGTTACTTTTACATGAACTGGAGGAACGAACAGCTGACCTTCTATCTGAATATTTATCTTACCATAGTCGTAAGGAATGAAAACGGTTTATTTAAAATAAAAACACTATACAATTAACAACAGTACAATGTAGTTACAACATTTTAAATCTAATCTAATAGGTACATTCGTATTGTTTAATTTGTACAATTATCAGGAAATGGTCGACAATATTACAATTACAAATAAATTATAAATTCCATTAAAGCTAGTAATAAACACAAGGGAGCACATGACAGTTTTTAACATTACTCGCAACAAAATGCAATGCACTTTTTAATCTATCTACTACTATACGGTAATATAAAATATTCGAGTTAAAACATGTTTATGTATTTAAAAGCAATTACTTTAAAGTATATTTCTGAAGGTTTTAAACTCAAAAAAATGTATGCATTTTATTTTATTTCAAAAACTAATAAAATTAACTTAAAGAAAAATTTGAACAATCATAGTACAGTTTAAGCAAAATAAGGATTATTGTAAAAGAGAAATGCATGTGTATTGGCGCAAGAATTATTTAGAAACGATATTAGACTATAAATAAAACGTCACTACAACATCGGCATAGCAAATCTTTAAAATTAAAAAAAATAATAAAATTATCCACAAATAATAAATATTGGTATCATTACACTTTGGTGGTTAAAGTTCAGCCAAGACTCAAAGCTGAAATCATCTGTCAGCAGCAAATGGATTTTCATTTGAGTTGTCAAATCTTAGCCTTTAAACGAAAAATTCTTGTATATGTATATATATATATATATATAGAGTTTAGCCATCCTTTTGGCACCTAAAATGAAATATGAAAAGCCACGTGATTAGTTGACATCTACGAAGATAAGTGTTTCAGAAACCGGGCGTCAGTGTTTCAGAAACCGAGGGTAAATCTTTTATTTAAATAGGTCATACCAAAATAGGTAAGTACATCATAGAATTAGTAGGTCGAAGCTTAAAATGAACATATTATGTAACCTTAAATAACCTATTGTGCCTATCGTGTAACCGTTGTATTTCATAAAGACGAGTTTCTTAATGCTTTTACACAAAACATAATGTGATTATTACCGATTGCACACTTGTAGTGTAATAATTTCATAAAAAAAACCTCACAATTTTAACGGAAAAGCTAATAAGATTATTATTGAACGGAACATAATAGTTACGTGAATTTAAAATAATTATGCCGATGTTTTCATTCGCTCAAAGTATTCGTCTATTTGAAATCAAATGAGAAAAAACATAAAATAGAACTGTACTTACTAATTATAACTAAACAGTTTTTGCACTGTACGTGATAGAAATATTTTCTTCAACCTCCATTATATTTCATATTTCAAAACGCAACATAAGTACACAAATCACTCATAAATTACAAAATAATTTAAGAACATTTTAAAGACTAACATGGCGAAATTTGTCCCGCCAAAAGCGTCAATCAAATTCAACTAACCTAACTGAAATGTAAATAATTAGGTGGGTCACAATAATTGTTCAAACTCAAACATACCGTGTTAAAATTTAGGCAATTAAAATGTAAAATCAAGATAAATTATCTTTTCTTTGTTGCACTACGAGAAATTTTATTGCACTGAAATTTAATACCTGCGGAATTTTAAACACTATTTTAATTGAACATTTTGTGATAAGGCCGCCGAAAAGCTGTAGGGATGTCGAAAAAATATCGATATATCGATATATTGATTTTTTTATTTTAAATACTGATATTTTAAGCCGATATATTTGGATCCGATATAAAATATACATTATTGAAATCAAATGAATCAAACATGACATTTTTCAAATTCGAATCCGGCAATATTCAATATTTAATATCGCTCTCGATAAATCGATATATCGAGGCCGATATTGAATATTTTTATAAAAATCGATGTATCCATACAGTTCTTCTCTCTCGACAACCCTAAAAATCAATTGAAAAATTAGTACGTGATGTCATAGATTTGATCAAGCGAATAAATAACTAGGTATGTAATAAAGCCTTAGTTTAAGCGAAGAAACGTGGCTATTATTTAGAGACAAAGATACTTGGTAACCACTTCCACTTAACACTTAATTGTTTTATGTAGTGTACATGGTAATGTAAAATATAAGTTCTCATATTATTTTAGCGTTAAATACGTGCTAATTATGTAAGGGTAGCTTTCCCGCCCCATTATTTTCTTGTAACGCATGTCACGGGTGTGAGTATATTTTTTTTTACTTTTTTTATAATTACCTATAGTCAAAGATCTTAAGACCTGGCATCCTGTTATATATAGTTAATGAAATAAATATATTGGTAGGTACAATGGACTGCAATATAAAACACATTAAAATTTTTGAAATCTCTATCTAGATGGATACATTTAAAAAATTATTTGAATTTCCATTTTTAGTTGTTGGACATTCAGGCGTCAAAATCGTTGACTTGCAGCAGAATTCGCGCATATCCAGACGGCTCCTTCAGGCTCTTGTTGTACCTTATGTTCTTTGCCCACGCCCGACACCTTATTGCTATCGTTGAATTGCTCACTACAAGAAATTCATTATAATTATTGAATTGAATATATTATATGGAATAAAATAAATTTTTAAAATGGAATAAAATAAAATAAATAAAATAAATTTTTGCTTGTTTTCCACTTTTTTTGTGAGAAGTGATAACCGCAGCCCATGGATTTTTGCAACACCCGTAGGTTTCCAGATTCGTTCTACCTTTTAATAAAGAGGGCCTCGGCTACCTCAGCCGACAGACGAAACGTAGAAGTATAACACTTCTGTGGTCTTCTGTAAGGTCGTGGTAGTTCCCCGGACGGACCTGCCCATTCGTGCAACAGCAAAATGTACATTGCCTTACCACTGATACAATAAAGGGCAAGACATGTTCACCACTCCAGTGGAAATAAAGTGTGCTATAGAATTTGTCATTTGAGTAATCCTCTCATGATCCGAGGGTCGTGGGTCGTAATCCCACGCGCATAAAAAGGAAGTGCGCTGATTATCTGTAAAAATCGTTGCCCAAGCCGATCGCGGTACAGCGACAAGGCTCAATCAATAAAACGTTAACGTCACTAAATAAGCTCGGTGAAAATAGGATAGCATTATTAGCTATCTCTTTCTACCCCGATTGGGCCTACGTGGAAGTCCTAGTTTTGCTCCTAGTAGCCACTTGCCCACCGTCTGGTGTGACCCTGACCGACAGCAGCGGTCACCGCTTTCGTTGGGTCGACGTGGGAAACTAAAAAAGCTCGGTGAAAATGGGATAGCGTCATCAGCCGTCTCTTTCTACCCCGATTGGGTAGAGTAGTCTTTGTCTCGCTCACCGTTCGGCGTGACCCTGATAGGCAGCAGCGGCGCCCGGTAGCCCCTCTCGTTGACGTAGGGGAAGAACCGCGCCGGCAGGCCAGCGCCCCAGGGGTACTCCACGCTGCCGCTGCCCGCCGCTTCGGCCCAGCACGACACCCAGATCTGCTCGCGCTGCGATCGAGGCACATTTGTACGACGCGCACCGACACTCCGAGATGCAACGTGTCCCTCGGCGCCTGCACTCCGCAAAGGGCTCACGGCTGCGCGGAGGCCTTTTCCGTAGAGGGTACTAGGGCACAGTCCACCACGGGACCCCAATGCGGATTGGCGGACTGCACATATCTTCGAAATATTTTGTTGATACGACGAAATACCCAGGTTTCCTCGCGACGTTTTCCTTTACAGCTGAGCAGTGATAATTAACAATTTCATCGGTGCCGGGACCGAGGATTGATATCAGTTTGTAAATTGAATTAAAAGCGGACGCCCGGACAATGAGCTATCACGGTTCCAAAAGTGGTTGGTAGTTTTACATTAAATTTATAGCAAATTAAAATTATTGAGACAAAGGACGGGTATTGGAGCTTCTTGTGGTTTATTGCAGGATGTAATTCGAATGCAAAACCGAAACTGGATCAAGTTGATTATTTCCACATTCACTCAATTGAAATTAACCTGAATTTTGATCACAATTTAATAATCAACAAAAATCGAATAAATCGTATGTCACCAAAAAGCGTTCGATAAGTGTTTTGTCAAGTGAATTAATATTAGCAACATCTAAGCAGAACATATACAAATGAAAATAACCTTTCGTTTATATTTTATACTAGCTGTGCCCCGCGACTTCGCCCGCGTGCAATTTAAAATCAATAAAATTTCTAAAATAAAAGTAGCCTAAGTTACTCCTTATGACATCGGTTATCAGCCTGTGAAAGTCCCGTCAAAATCGGTCCAGCCGTTTCAGAGATTAGCCGGAACAAACATACAGACAGACAAAAATTATAAAAATGTTATTTTGGTATAAGTACCGTGTATACATCCATATGTATTTAGTAAAGAGCGGTTATTTTAATATTGCAAACAGACACTCCAATTTTATTTATCTGTATGTATAGAAACCGTCATACCAATATACTGAAAATAGATGGCAGCACTAGTTCGTATTACTCTTTTTGTGCGTCTTCCCCGAAGCCAAAGATCATTTGCATTGAAGAGAATAATTTATATTTTTTGCTTGTCAAAATGGCGCCTGCACTATTACCTCAGGAGGCTGCAAACTGTTTATATACTCGACGAGATCACTGCCCATGTCCGAAGGCAGATCGCTGACGTCGTATAGGTCAGGAATCCAGCCGTAGATCTGTGTATCCCAAGGAGATAAACCTTTCTTCAATGATATTATACAAAACAATAGTTAAAAAAAAGATTTGTAGATAGTCGACCCAGTTTTCAATAAATTTAAATTATGAACAGTGTGCGTTACAAGAAAAAAAAGTAGAAAATAAATTGTTATAATATTAAAGCACACCACGCTGTTCTGCAACATTTTTTTTTGTTAATAACACTTTTTATTTTCTTCTTTTTAGTTTGGTTATATACAAAAACGTGTTTTATTTATTTTTTTTAAGGTATTCCATTAGTAAGAATTATATTTTCTATTTTTTAGTTCTGCTAAGTGTAAGACACTAGCAGTTATCGGATTTGGAAAATACCTAATCCTAATGGACCTGCTCAGGATAATGGGAAAAAATATTTAAATTAAATGAGTCTTTGACGAGTGTGCAAAGTTTGATTCAAATCGGATTGTTCAAAGTGGTGGCGAAATCATGTTTAAAAATGCCGTACATTCATACTTACATACAGGTAGATGTGACACTATATTCGAAAGTGAGGCACTCAAATTACGGCAATTTTTGTAATTGATTAGTCTGCTATCTCTTTCTGTATCATGTGTTTTCACATTTGAAAGAGAACTGTCTATATGTAAATATTTGTAGAAACTTTTGGCGCTGCGGAACCTACGTCTTTTGGTTTCGCGTCCAGACGCTTTACAAACTAAGCTAAGAGGCCGATGACCTCACGGTGCGAAAATTTTGACATCTATCTACGTTCGAATAATACGAGAATTGTCTAGATTTCTTTCTGAAAATCAGTGCTGGTTGGGATTTTGACTTCAGGCACAGCATAATGCTGAGCTGCTGACCTAATTTACTGATGATAAGTGCAAATTTTTTTTATTATTTATGTTTAACATCTTATTAATTTTTCGTTCGTTTTATTTTGCAGCGATTATATTTGTGTTGATTTGTTGTTTTACTGTAGTATGTATTAGTAAAATTTTTATTTTTTTTTATTTTATGTTAAATTAAGTTTTTGTTATGTGCGTCCTTTTTATTGTAAATAAATTTATTTTCTCTCTTTATTTCCTCTTTCGTTCTTTCTTTAACCGGACTCCACTGTCCACCGACCAGGTACCTTATTCAGCTTGATGAAGAAGCAGGGTGAACTCGGGAAGCCGTAGTTATCCTCCTCCGTGCAACCCGACTTCGCGGTGAACCACGAGTCATTACTATACGCTGCGGAACAGATAATATAAAACTTTATGTAATGTTGCTAGTCTAAGAACACATCGATGCTGCCAAGTTGGGTTTGATTTTTTTGACCGTGCACCTAGATTTATCAAACAAACGGACTGATGGTCTAAGATCCGGCTGCAGAATTACTACACTCATCGAGTATTTGCCAAAATCCAAATGTTTATGTATATTTATGATTAGGAGAATATTATATTTACCAGGTTGCCTATCAAAAAGTGTCCACTTCAATATACATAAAGACTCTGAAAAATAACGGTTGCCGTTGCGCGCTTGGCCGCATGTAAACAGGTATGATTTTGATACATTTATACGTTCATAACGTACATTTATTATTTATATATCTGACGGCAAAAAAGGGTTGCTGGCTGTTAAAGACGGTAAAGAGAGCTAGCGCGTAACAGCTACTGATAAAAAAGAAAATCAGTTGGAAAACGGAGGAGTTGGAAAAGTTGGACTGTATTTTGATGACACCTTTTTGTATAGGTAATAAATGGACCAAACTTACGAGCCAAGAACTCTCGAAGCTGCCTGACGTAGGATTCACTGGTCCTGTTATTGGTTACCTCGACGAGAACGCCGTCGGCGGGCATCGGCCTGAAAGCCACTCCCGGGTTGGCACCTGTAACAAAAAATGGCAATACAAACCTGCGAGGATATACATCTAGGGTTGCCAAGTATACTTTTGCATAAAAGTATGTGAAAATACTCTCTTAAGGATAATGAAAAACTGTGAGTGTGCTAGAAACACACAAAAATAAGACTCCACGTGAAGAAGTAAATAATAAATACACATAATTTTGAACAATTCTTAATATTTTTCTACTTGAAAAATGTAATACGTTACTTTTCCCAATAGTTGGCAAACCTGTGTACATCAAACCCAAGGTGGGTTTGATGTACACAGGTTGACATACTGAACAACATTACTACAGAAAAGTTGTAATGCGTTGTCAAGACGTTTGTGAAGACAGGTATTTCCAGAAGCCAAAGCCCAGGAATGGTGCCACAAAAACCGTATCCATGCGACATAAGCACCCTCAGATTTGATATGGATTTAAAAAAACTTAGCGACAAAACACAGAGACAGAGACCAGAAAACAGACTAAAAAGAGCATACAATAGTGTTCTTATGTCTTTTTAGCGTTCTATTGTATGTTCTCTTTAGTTTTTTATTAACTTTGACCTGACGTAACGGGTATGTTAAACATTTTCATGGCCATAAATTGGGTAATTGGAGTCAGAATTAATTGTCTTTTGCGACGTGAGCTATCGTTGTTGAAGACGTTTAAAAAGCGAGAGCGATAATTTTGGATTTTAATTTGTTTTTTTTATATAATAAGTTGACAAGTGAGGTAACTGTACACCTGATGTTAAGTGATAACTTCGCCCGTGGACATTTGTAACACCCATAGGTTACAGATGCGTTGCGACCTTTTAAAACTGTGTTCCGGTTCCTCACTCAGCAGACGAAACGCAGTATAATACTCCCACTTTACGCCGCTCTTCAGAGAGATTGTGGGTACTTCCGCGGGCGAACCTGCACATTCTTGCCACAGCGAAGATTGTTGCGTGGCCCTAATAGTGGCTCAGTTTTTAAAACATAGAATGAACCTTGATGTTTATTATTACGAATAACCAGCATATACCGGTATTTAACCCTGACAAAAAGGCGCTTACTATATAACGAAAACCGAACTACGTAAAAAGGCAGATGGTATTTTACACCTCTATACGAGGTTTTCAGTCAATTAATAGTTATAAAAATGAATTTCGTGGTAATGAAATAAAATCTTTAACTCGCTAATGTAATGTAATGAGAAAATATATAACTGTGTCTTACCTGGACATTCCATGTCATTATTTTAGTTATGAGGCTTAAATCAGTGCTATACTGTTTATTTATGATTTTATCTATTATTTTTTGGGCTCTTGTAATGGCATCTCCGACGCGATGACTCTACATCGTACATGGACCGATCGTTCCATGGGGCTTTATACGCGACTAATTTGTGCACATACGCCTATTTGCCTAAATTTTTTTTTTGGATTTAAGAAAAAAAAAATTTTTTTTTTTTTTTTTTTGTTAAATTGCGCTAATAATTGGAAAAGGGCGTACGCAGCAGTATCGCCCCTTTACGTAGGAGCCATCGATTTAGGGTACGTTCGAAGTTTTCTTCACGATAGTCCTGAATAGATTCATAACATATCAGAAGAATCACATACAATCAGAAGTACCGCCGTGCAACAAATGAGGGCAATGAAGAGCAGCACCCGCTGGAACCCCGCACTGAATAAAGTACCTCTGATGCAACCTGACCTTTTCACTAAACCTCAATTCGAGCGCAATTGTTGTGCCAGTTATAATGTATGGTACGGATTAATGGCGTCCTTTTACGCGGAAATGGCGGAAACGGCGCATTAACGTCAAACATTAATAAATTAACTTTGACGTTGTTTCAGAATGATATAGGACTACCATAAAAACGGTTCGCATTAAGGGTCATCAGAGAGGGGACTTTGGATGGTTGGAAGGATATATGTTACGTGAAACTTGTTACATACATTTACATTTATAATAAAATAGGTGACATCCACTAACGCCTAAGTATAAAGAATCTCAAACATTTTGTACAGGCCACCCTAATGGCAAGGGCCTATTATAATGTCCAAGAATACATTGAGGACAAGGATTTGTGGAAATAAATAAATAAATAAATAAATATTTTTACACAACGTTCTCTAGTCCCAAACGAAGCAAAGCTTGTATTATGGGTACTAGAAAACTGATAAACATACTTAAACATACTTTTCTTTTGTAAATAAATACATATTATACATATATAAACACCCAGACACTAGAAAAACACTATGTTCATCACACAATATTTTTCCAGTAGTGGGGATCGAACCCACACCCTCTGGCACAGGAGGCAGGTACACTACCCACTACGCCATTCGGGTCGTGAAATGACTCTTGCTCTACACTCGCAAGTGCCCTGATTGATTTTATACCTAAATAAATTTGTATAATCAAAGATAAAAACAAGAAGTTAACAAGACCGCGGAGTAAAATGTGGAAACGCATCTGCATCCCTGCGGGTGTATGTCCATGGTTTGCGGTTATCACTTAACATCAGGTGAACCGCCGGCCTGTTTACTTTTTTTCTTTATTTTTTTTAAAACATTGCCCTCATTTTAGGATAACATTATTCCGTATTGTAAGGACGTTTTACAAACATAAATTGCACGTGGACAAAACCAGATGCGAAACAACTATATGTGGGTCGCACAAATAGTTGTTGGGAATCGAACCCACGACCCCCGACGCCGAAACCAATACCTTGGCATCTGCGCCACGGAGTCATTTGTATGTTTGCTGTGTTAAAAGGGAGATGTAATGACAGTCATGATTATACATGAGTCATGATCATGTACCTATGAGGGAGCTCTCCAGTATGAAGGAGGGTTTGTTCTCATCGAGGGTCAGGAACAGCCCGCCCATGCAGGCGGCGAAGAGCAGCGCCAGAACTGCGTAGAACACCGAGTAGAAGACGAGGGCAATACCTGCAAAACAAAAACAATAAATGAATACAAGCGGAAAGTTCACTTTTTTAGTCTGGTGTGAGGTCGTGGCACTTACCCGGACGGACTTGCCCATTCGTGCAACAGCGAAGACTGTTGCATGGCCCTACCACAAACATAATCTATTAGTTCGTCCTCGGCAAAGGACATAGCGGAAAAACAAACACGTACATAAGGTACACTAGCGTTTCAGGACGGTTCTACTCATACAGACATCGGAGTCATGGTCCATACAAAACCTCAATGGCTCGTGGGTGACACTCAACCATATAAATAACGCACATTAGAGCACATGCGCGGCCCTACCCAAAGCGAGACCCGGTATCAAACTCGTGGGGTCTGGCCAGCCCTCGAGTTTTGCGTCCGATGAAGTTTTAATAGTCTATGAACTGAAAGCAAAATATCTCACACTATGGGAGGTTTAGTATAGGAATTAAAATTTGCAAAAGGATGAAATCTGATTAAGCGGTTCGCCTAATCGTGAGAAGACTACCGCTGACGAACAGCCACAATACAGAGTTCTTGCAGGTTTTGCTAACCACTTCGAGGTTGAACTCTATGCCAAGCCTGGTAGCTACCTAGATTGGCCAGACCACAAAACCAACAAAATCTGATGTGCTTTAGCCATCGTTTAGTTTCTCTTATTAGAACACTAACACACAGTTTTATGACACAGTTTATGCTTTGTTCCAAGTTTATATTTTAGTTAAAGGCAGGCATCGAAACCTGTCGTATACCACGATAGTATTCGATGGATTTGTTTGTTTGAATGTTAGATAAAATATGTTATAAAGGGACGTATCTTTTGACTGCATTGAAAACATTCAAATTGTTGCTTAAAAACTTAATTTTTAGGTACACTGGAAAAGGTAATTTTCATAAACAACCTCTTATCTTACCAACCTCCTCTCAGGAAATACGATGGTAATAGAATTACTGAGAGGGCAAAATCTTTAGAATTCGTTTTTACTAAGTTAGCTACAGAACCCTATAAATTCAAACGTTGGTGCGCTCTAAATTACGGTCTGTTTAAATTCGATATAACATATATGTATAATAATAAAGAGATACGTACATCTTTACGTATTCCACGAAGGGCGGACGGAAATGAAGAGATCGTAGTTATGGTGTACGAAACAGTTCACAGACAACAAAGTTAATAATAGAAAATGTACATTCTATTGCTTCGTGCCAGTCTGTGGGGGAGCCCTGTGTTCGACAGTGGATTAAAATAGGCTGAAATTACGATCGTGATGACGAAACATTTATCTGACATTATAAAGAGGTAATTTTAATATGATTGTTTATTTGTGTGTATTGGTAAATCTTATATATTAAATTCTTGTGTCACGGTGTTTGTAATTGAACTCCTCCGAAATGGATCAACTGATTTTCGTGAAATTTTGTTTGCATCTCGGCCAGGGTGGAGAATCGGACAACATCTATTTTTCACCCCCTAAATATTAAGGGTGGTCCACCCCAAACATTTTCCTACATTACCTACAAGTAATTTATATGGCAAAACAACGTTTGCCGGGAAAGTTAGTTCTCTATACTTAAGTATTAAAACACGCAGACATTAATATTTATTTCTTATATTTATCTGATTATCGCCGGTCACCAGCAATGTTCACGCTTCTAAGTGATCCAGTTTAGAAGAAACAAACAAGCAAACGTGACTTACTAGCTACTGTGTCTACAGATGAATGTTGTGACGATGCAGCGAATACAAAAACATTTCATACGAAATTATTATAAGTAATACGAAGTACCAATTACTGACAAAAGTAATTTGTCATAAATACCTAATTAAGTAAAAGTTGGAACTAATCCGTATAGGCTTAACAAAAAAAGTTCTAAACCAAAACCGCGTTCTATACCAAATACGCCAAATCTACGTCAAATGCGGCCCCGGGCCTGTACCTATGACGGAGAAGAGCAAACGCTCGCGAAACTGTCGCGTTCAAATTGATGCCTTATATGTATGGGTTCAGAGATCAAAACGACGGAGTCGGCGGCGGTACGCGTGACGAAAGCGCCGTCTAAATCCGCTGTGGCCGCGCCTAAAATAGAATTCGGACGCATTTCTACGTCCTTAGTGCAAATAAATTGTTTTTTTATGATACGTATTAAATCTTCGCCATTACGGACGACGCGACGGTCGGAGTAATTCAGGCAAACGCCCGCCTAAAACGACCCAATATATGACAAATCTAACTACCTTAATATTATAAGTAATAGTTTAAAAAGACTATAAAGCCCGCTTTTCTAGAAAACCGAACTAAACGGAAGAAAATAATTTGTTAATGAATAAGCGTGGGATGCTTAGAGTCAATTGGTATAATATTTTAATGACAAATTTAGGTGAAAGGAGAGTCATTACGGAAATATCTTAAAACGCACTCCACGCTTTTTTACAATGTATTGAAAATTATTTCCACTTTTAGTTCGGTTATCTACTAAAGCATTAAATAATAGTTAAAAAAAACTAACAATTAAAAAGAAAAACAATTTTCTATTTTTTTGATTCTGCATTGCATGAAAAAACATTTTTAATTGCTACCGGCTCAAAGACAAAAAGAACTATAAAAACCAACAAAAAGATTTGTAAAATCACTAATCCTGTAGGTCCTGATCACGATAATGGGACAAACTATTTAAATTACTGCATTGTCATGCACCATAAGTGTGCAAAATTTCAATTTAATTCGACGTTTAGAAGTGAGCCAAAATCAGGTTCGAAGATACCGTTACATACATACAAACATACTACATACATATAAATTACTACGGTACATACATAAATACGTATTTTTAATGCGATAGACGATAAGTAATAAAATTCAAAAATATTTTATTAATTTTATAAAAAGCGACAAAAGAATAACGTTTCTATGATTAATAAATAATTTGTTGTCTAAAAAGTTTAAGCTACTACTAAACTTAAGAATTATTAAGAAAGTAAATCTTGAAATATCTATATTTTAAAACTTGCTTTTCGCCCGCGGCATTACTCGCGTTGAAGCTCTTAAATAAATATCTAGCAACACTTTACATTACTTTTTTCCAATTAAAAATAGCAATACATTTAAATCGGTTCAGTAGTTTTGGAGTGAAAGCGAGACAGACGGACAGAGTTACTTTCGCATTTATATTTGTATGGACAATTTTGGCAATTTTTTTTTAAATATTTGTGGCAGTCCAGGGAAGGATTAAACGATGGGAAATTATGGAAAAATTGCATGCAAAATCGAAATAGCAACAATTTTATTTTCCCATACAAACTGTGCCTATGAACTTGTCATCTATGTCTGTGTAACCTGTCAAACACTTCATGCGTGCGTTCCGAAAACTTTTTCTAAATGAGTGTTCAAATTGACAAATTCCCTAAAAATAATTTATATGGCAAAAACAACATTTGCAGAGTCAGCTAGTATCATATAAGTTATCAAAAGCAGGTATGTAACTGTCCCTATTCAACAGTTCCTTTATTACATAATATTTTTATCTTAATTTTTTATGAACTCAAGTTTTCCGTGACCAAATATGAAAGATACATTGTAATAGGTCAGGGAAAAAGTTTCTTCGCATTTTATATGAAAATTCAAAACATTTTTTAATAAAGTTTATTCACATTTAACTAAAGTATGTAGGCACCATTTTGTTCGATAACTTTCTGCCATCTTGTAGGTAGGGACATGATCCCATTGCTATAGAAATTCTGGGGTTTCTGATCAAGAAACCGCGACAAGTGGTTTTGGCAGTCCTCTCGTGATGTTAACCTGGCACTGCTTAAAGAATTCTGAAGAGATCAAAACAAGTAGAAATCTGAAGGTGCAAGGTCAGGACTGTACGGCGGATGCATTAACACCTCCCAGTCAAACTCTCTTAATTTTTGCTGAGTGGCTAAAGATGTGTGAGGTCTAGCGTTATCATGATGAAAAACCACACCCCTTCTGTTGATTAATTTCGGCCTCTTTCTCTCAACTTCTTGCTTTATTCTCATTAGTTGTTCGCAGTAGAGTTCAGAATCAATGGTTCTGCCTGGCGGTAACAGCTCATAATGAATAATGCCCTTCCAATCCCACCATACACACAGCATTACCTTGTTGCGAGATAACCCGGGTTTTGCCAGTCTGTGAAGCCTGACCAGACTTTGACCACGATCATTTCGCACGTTCTTGTCGTACGTGATCCACTTTTCATCATCAGCTATCAGGTTTTTAAAAAATGGTTCGGTTTCATTACATCGTAATAAAGAATCACAAATGAGTACACGGTCCATTAGGTTTCTTTCAATGAGCTCATGAGGTACCCAGATATCGAGATTTTTTGTGTACCCAGCTTTTTTCAAATGCGCCAAAACTGTTTTGTGATCAATTCCCAATTCTTCAGCTACATCGAAACTACTGATATGCCGATCTTGCTCCACTTTTCCAAAAATGGCATCCATTTTATCCGTAACAGGGCGCCCAGAGCGAGGTTCATCTTTTGACATTAAAATTTCCGGATTGAAAACGCTTAAACCAAATTTGTGCTACTCCCAAAGACGCTGCACTAGATCCATAAATACCACAATTTTTTTACGCGGCTTGCGTTGCATTTTTACCTTTTTTGTAGTAAAATTTTAAAATGTATTGAATTTTTTCATTAGAATCACTCATCTTAACAGTAAGGAAAACAAATGAAAATCACAGATTTTCCTAATTTGAATTTGGAATTATCTTTTTCAAAATTTAAACTTTTTAATGATACCAAAACCAGCCGGATACAAATGGTATTATATATAATTATATATATATATATATATATATATATATATATATATATATATATAATTTTGAATTTAAACGCGAACTTATGGCTAAGGCATATTATACCATTGCAGAATATCTTGACGACGCCAATGTGTGGGGTTAATGTACGTAGGCTAAATTGACATACTTGTTCTATTATATTGTAAACTAATCGTTTTAAAAAAG